CCGTCGCGGTCGACCGCGACGCGGTCAAACCGTTTCCTAAACTGTTTTGGATTCTGTTTTCCCCAGGACTCTATATATACCTTAAACAATTTTAGGGTTGTAACAACACGAAAAAAAAGAGCTTTTTGACTGCAGAAGGAGAGAGAATCTCAGAGAGATTAAACCTTAGTTTGAGAGCTTGTAATTCTTCTTTAATTAATAAAGAGATTGTGTGGTGTGGCTCCTGATGACGTAGGCACGTTGTCGAACCTCGTTTAATCTGTGTGTTCGTCTCCTTTACTTTTTTTTGCAAGGTTAAATCTTTATTTGTGGTATTATTCCTACTTTCCTACTTTCAACACAAGGTCCGGAAGGGTAAGGGTTCGATTGATTGTTTCGAATCCCCAACACATATTGGAAGAAGAGACAATAAGAAGAGAGAGAGAGAGAGAGAGAGAGAGAGAGAGAGAGAGAGAGAGAGAGAGAGAGAGAGAGAGAGAGAGAGAGAGAGAGAGAGAGAGAGAGAGAGAGAGAGAGAGAGAGAGAGAGAGAGAGAGAGAGAGAGAGAGAGAGAGAGAGAGAGAGAGAGAGAGAGAGAGAGAGAGAGAGAGAGAGAGAGAGAGAGAGAGAGAGAGAGAGAGAGAGAGAGATAATCTAATCCCTTGAGCCTCATTCAACTTCTTATCGGTGCACTTTTCATTGGCGTTTGATTTAGGGATAAGGAGTGCACTACACGTACAATACTACACCGCTTCTTTACGAATCTTCATCTACATTGATTTGAAGAACAATTTGATAAACTACTGTAAAATTGTTCTTTTACTTTTTTTATTTATTTTGGGTTGGTTGTATTTCAAACTTGTAAGTTTGATGACGTACTCAAACCATGGTGATTGAAGGTTAGCATACTCAAGCCAGGATAATTGAGGGTTTGGTGTAAAACCCCGGTCGACCGCGCAACAGGCAGATTGTTTTTTTTCTGGGTTCGGGTCTTAACGGGTTTCGGGTCGGGTTTGTGGGGTTAGTATATATATATTTATACCCGAGAGAGGCTTCTCTTCATCTGAAATCAAAAACCCTAGCCCCCTCTCTCCCCTCAAACCCTAGTATTTATTCTTTAGTGATTTGGGAGGGGCTTCGAACGGTTTTTCAGCGGATTTTTGGTGGGATTCAGCGAAAGGGATCCATCCTCCTACAGATCTAGGGTTTTTTTCTCATCAGAGGCGAGTAACATCTCCCCCAACTTCACCCCTTTTGGTTTTCATGCTTAAACTTGTGTTTTAATTTGGTTTTATTAGGCCTAAATCGTATTTTATGTTTAGATAATAGATCTTTATGGCATATGATGTGAGAATCAAACTTTTCAGATTTTAAAAGCTCACCAATGAATTTTAATTAATGAGATCTAGATCTGAAAACGTTTTTAGCAAAAGTTAATCCTGTTTTTACTGTTTTAAAAACATCTAAATTATGTTTATATATGTTTGGGATCTTGGTGATAGATTTTAAATGTTTAAATTCGTTGTTTCCTACCAAATGACACATTAGAAATATTAGAATTTCAATAACAAAAGAAATCATCAAGTGTAACTGTTTTCGAAGCTGACAGAAACCCTTACTGGGCTTCTGTCTGCTTCGCGATCGACCACGGTGGACGCGGCGGTCGACCGCTGGACGAGCAGGAGGGCAGAGACTGTCTGCCCTCTGCGCGGTCGATCGCGGTGGGCGCGACGGTCGACCGTGGGTCATTCAGTTGAGCACTGGGGTTTCTGCTCTGGTCGCGGTCGACCGCTATGACCTCTGCGGTCGACCGCCGCTCAGTTTTTGAGCTCAGTGATCTTCGGCTCTGTGCGTGATCGACCGGGGTGACCTCTGCAGTCGACCACTGTATAGATTCTTTGTCTCGTTGGTTTTTGTTGAGTATTACGCCTGTTGGGGGGATTTCCTCGATTTCCTGACTTTGGCTTTCAGTCTTACTATGTATCTATACATGATAGATGACCTTAGGGTACCAGTTTAGAATTGCACACCGAGTCGAGTGTGAAATCTGTATAGTAGATCTTTCTATGTATATTAGCGATATTTACACAGTTGCACATTCCTCGTGTTGGGCTATAATCCATAGAAGTCCTCGTGTTGGACTATAATCCATTTCAGTCCTCGTGTTGGACATTTACTCATTTGTACCATGAGTTGGTAAATTACTATATCTAGTTCATGTATTGGACACATGTATTAACCCTGCATAGGGCACTTCACATGAGGTTATGACATGACACTCATGTAGGTTATGACATGACACCTATGTTAGTTATGACGTGATTTAGTATTTATGTTCTGAAATGAGTTGTACTTTCTTTTTATTATTGTTCCCGTACTACTTTTCAGGTTTGGTGTTTAGGGATTTACAATTTGAGATACAAGGTATATACATGAGGGTTTCCTTGTTTGGATTATTTCGCTCTACGTACATATGCTCGTGTTGTAAGTTTCTAAATAATAAAACCCTCTTTGATAGGATCCATGATTTTAGATTTATATGTATTAACTGTATTTTTCTTACAACATGCCCTTTCCCTTGGAGTTGGTTGTGATGTTGCTCGCTAGCGCTTTGACGCTCGTTGTCCCTCCCCTTTTCAGGTAACGAGCTAGGAGCCCGGAGAGTCGCAGGTTGATGGCGACACACTTTAGTGTTCAGCTATCTACTTTTAGTTATGTTTTATTTTGGAGCTCCACTGTAGATTTTGTTAAACATTTGAGGACTATATTTTAGTTGTTGTAAAGACGGTGTGCCTTATTTCCTTTACTTAGATAGTTTGTATTCGAGACTGGTTGAGAACTCCAGTTTATTTACTTCAGCCATTGATTATGTATTTATGTAGGGTGGATGATGAGATATCCATGTGGTTGTTATCATTTCATCAGTTATCACTTGTATTATCTTTTACTTGCTTTTGTACCTACACCTGTTGTTGACCCTACTAGAGAGATGTTAATTGTGATGGTAAAACATGTTATTGCACGGTGTGGTGCATGACAGGTTTGACATGGTGCATGACAGGTTTGACATTCTTGGTTTCACCTTGGACTGCAGCCTTGTGTGAACCTAGTAGCGTCACATTTGGCTAGCTAGCTAGGGCTAGATTACTTCTGGTCATTGTGAAGAGTTAGGTTAGATGACTGGTTTCGGATAGATTCCAGAGTGCAGACTTTGAAGCCTACCAAATTGGGTTATGATTTAAGTAAACTTTAGTCGGAGTGAAGAAGGCCATTTGCGAGAATGAAGAGTAGACGTAGAATTTTGATCCAAACCGCTATAAAATCTCATGTGTTCTTGTATTGGTTTGCTTTTAGTTTTTCGCTTATTTTATTTTCGCTACTTATTCCGAATTAATCGAAAAATTATAGCAATCCTATTCACCATCTCAGTCCCAATAAGACTAAGTTCATATTTTGAGAGGGAGACAAGAGTTCTAATGCAATCTTCTAATAGTTTGAGGAAGGAATTGGTGGGATTTTGACTAGGACTGACTGACTTGTCATTTGGAAGGAGTTAACGATTAATATTGTAAATTTATATGAAAAGGTTCGCTGTTGAATTCTCCTTGTTATTAATAATTTTTCTTCTTCTTTTTGTCTTGTTGAAAACATATAATTGATGGTGTTGCATCTTTTGATTATTTTGAAGAATGATAGCATGATAGATTTCACTAGTATGCTCCTTTATACTTAAAGGAGAATCCAATATTTACAGTTTACGCTACAGTAGATATTACTATAAATTACTATAGCAAGAACCCTCTATGTATAGAGGAGTAAAATTATCGTTTAACAGTAATTTAATGTATCATGAACAGTAGTCTTTTAAGTATAGAGCAGTAGATATGATTTCTAATGTCAAACATATAATAATCAAATCAAATGTATTAAAACTTAGAGGGAGTCTGGTTCAAAATGCAATGCTTAAAAAAAAAGGTTGTGCTTTGCCGGGTACACACTGTTTAATGTAAAAGAAGGACGTTGACAGCCTTTTCTAGGCTTTTCCAAAGTAATGGTAACATGGAAGTTTAAGATAGTAATATGGTTTTTTTTAAACTAGTTCATGATAATTCAGTAACACGGTAAAAAAAATCACTATAATTGTAAACTATTTAATCTTAAAAGAAGGCGAATCCGGTACTCCGAAATTTAAAAGTAAAATCCTCTCATTGTAAGGAAGCAAATCGTACAGTGAAGCTTGACTAATTTTCAAAAATAAAAAAGGTGAAATGAGAGAATACATCTGTACATATGAAAAAGACTGGGACCTGATTCTTGATCAGCTGACACTTGCCATTTGTTTACAGGCAATCAATATTTAATCCGATCCCGAATCTTTTCCCACCTCTGAGTGCTCAACAAAGATATTATTGTTGCTGTAACTATTTATTACCGATCAAAATTCTATCTCTTTTTATAGAAAATAAATAAAAAGTACAATCCAAACTTACCATTCACACGAGGAAACAAACAGTTAACCATATTTACTCCTCAATTAATCAGCCTTATCCACACATCACCCTTGTCGTTAAACAAACAAACAAACCAACCAACCATGATTGATTTTGTGGAAGCAGCGAATGCTGCCACCTCTCAATATGAGAGAGAGAGAGAGAGAGAGAGAGAGAGAGAGAGGTGTTGTCCTTAGCACCAAACTTGGACAGAGGAATCTGGAGTTCGTGCCACGTCTGTAAAGTTTTTCAGTAAATTTCGGATCACCTTTACAGTGGTCAGACGGTAAAAGAAAAAATTGCTATTAAGATCGTAGTTAATAGACTACGGATTCGTATTTACGTAGATTATGCTCTGATGAATATCGACCGAGGAAACCGCCATACTCCTGTGCTCTATTTACGTAGATTATCCTCTACATATAATGTCAAAATGTGGTGAGGTAGAGAGGTTCCTTTTTTTTTTTTAAGGGGCCGAAGCACAAATTCCACAACCCCCCCCCCCCACCCACACACACTGAGAAGTGAGAAGAGCAAAAAAGAGGGGCTCGATCGTTAATGATAAACTTTCCTAGCTAGTTGACAGATAGATTCCTCCCCCTATTTGCATTCAAGGCATTTGGTTTTTTTCTCCCGTTGGGTCTTCATTTCTTCCACACTTAATTAAAATTAAAATCTCAAAAGAGAGAGAGAGAGGAAAGGGAGAGGGAGAGATGTTGGAAGGCAAAGGACTGATCCAAGACACAGACATGCCACTGAAGATGCAGATGCAAGCCATGTCTTGTGCCTCTGAAGCCCTTGATCTCTTTGATGTCCTCGATTGCAAGAACATAGCATCCCATATCAAGAAGGTAACTTACTTTAATTTCCCTTAAGAATACATTTTTTATTTATATATTATTTATTTCTGAACCCCTCCTCTCCTTCCTTAATTAGCACATGAATTGTATCTAAGTACACCCACTTTTAGATTCAGAATTTGATCCCTCCCTTATTATGGTAGCGTAGGTCGAACTACAGCAGTCCACCGTTCTTGGTAGCATGTTAACACAACCGGTTTGAGTAAAAGAATGGATCTAAAATAAAAAGGACCTTCAAAAAAAAAAGATCGATTTCTTCCTCCACGATCTAATTTTGTTTGATTTTTGATTATGTTTTGTAGGAATTTGATAAGATGTATGGGCCAGGATGGCAATGTGTTGTGGGCTCAAATTTTGGGTGCTTCTTCACAACTAATGTGGAAAAAGAAAAAAAATAGAAAGGAAGAAGCTCTGATATAAATATTTTGTCCTAAATCTTCTTCCTTTCTCAACCTCTCAAAAGTAGACTAGAGTTGTGTAGAACACTTGTTGTTTCTTTGAGTATGTAAATAATGCTGTTTTGGTAGGATGTATGTGCATTTGGCTGCTTTTTCCATGGATACGCGGGTCTGTGTGATTTGTGGGTATATTGAGAAGGATTTGCATGGAGAATGAAATGCAGTCCAGGTCTCATCTGCTTACACGGTGCGCGCATTTTATCGAGAATATCTGACTTGAAATCACCAATCTACGAGACAAAGCGCAGATTTGAGTTTGATGCATCTACACAACATGACAACTCCAAATTTCTAATATGAAAAATAACAAACAATAGCGTACTTGCAAAAAGAAGAAAAAAAAAGAAAAGAAAGTTGCGTGCCTTATTTTCCAACGCTGAAGTTGCAAAAAATCCACAGTGAATTCATGATACATGCGACCATGAACAGGGGTCATCCCATCGTTTATTAATCGGGTCGGATACAAGTTTACCGTACCGATGTTGGGCCTATTTAGCATTTCACCCGAACCGGTCAACCGCATATCATCTGAGAAACCGTGAAGGTTTTGGACGTTGGCTGTACATGATAATGTCATCCAAGCAGAATTGACTGCCACCACAACGCTGCAGTTTTAATATATATATATATAGCCTGTAATATAGGCAACATCATCTGTGCAATACATAAATAGTTCAAGCAAAGCACCCCCAACGCCTCTTAAACAATCACGCCCGGCCCCGAACACCAAATCAAACCACGGGACTCAGCAGAGGCTTCTTCAAAACATGAGCCTCCAAATTCCCGAGAACGAGATCAGCCATCGCCTTCCTCGTCTCCATAGTCCCGCTCCCAACATGAGGCAACAAAACCACATTCTCAAGCCCAAACAACCCCTCAGGCACATCAGGCTCGCTCTCAAACACGTCAAGCCCAGCTCCTCCGAGCCTCCCCTCAACCAGCGCTTTCACGAGTTCAGGCTCGTCGACGTGGGGACCACGGCCGATGTTAATGAGCACGCCCTTGGGGCCTAGTGCGTCAATAACTTCGCGGTTGATGATGTGGGTTTCTGAAGTTAGGGGGCAGGCGACGACGAGGACGTCACAGTTGTATGCTAGGTCGGTGACGGTTGAGTAGTATTTGTAGTTCGTGTTGGGTTTTTGTGTTCTTGAGTAGTAGCTGATGGGGCAATCGAATGCTTCTGCTCTTTTTGCCACGGCGGTGCCTATTCTGCCCAGGCCGAGTATGCCTACTGTTTTACCGCTGAACTGCAGGGAAGAAGATCGTAATGTGAATTTCATACTTTTAAAATTACAAGTCAACAGATAAACGGGTACATTTCTATTTGAACTCTTTCCAGGATCAGGGAATGATTCAGAGCAGGTTTCTACTTTGAACTATTTCCAAAATCAAGGATTCAATCTTCTCATAGAGCAAAGGTCTCCAAACATAACTTGTTCTCATTGAAAGCTCAGGTAGGAAATATTTTTAAGAGTAAATTGCGGATAAACCCTCACATCTATATATTCAATAGATTCTATCACCCATCAACTCATTTATTAGCACTTATCATCCCTGGATACTTTTTTTCCCTTTTTTTTTGTGTGTGGTTGTTTGGAGGGGTTTGATCTACTATTTCTCTATAAAATGTTAATTCTGGGTAACAAGTACCGATAAAAGGTTGACAGATAACTCAAATAGAAAAGAAATGGTAGAAGTGATATACAAGGGAAGATCAGAGACAATAGATGTTAGAAGTGACACGTCTTTTTATTTTTTAAGCATGTCATGATATCCATAAAGAATGATGCAAATGACAACATTGGCTCTTTATATGGCTAATTCGTAGAGGAACTACCTTCAAACAGAGCATATGGGATACCACGAAGAAACTACTACCAAATAGGAAGAACTTAAATAGAACATTTCACGAGGGAAAAGAAATATCACAAGGACAACTCTTCAATTATTAACTGCTAGAAATTCATTCAGCACAGATCGTTGGCAATTCAAAACAAACCCGTATTAATGCCCTAAAACAATCACAGCCCCACAAAGATTGTTGCACACCGAATCATACTACAGGAGTTAACAATGGGTTACTTAGCACATGAGCCTCTAAGTTCCCAAGAACTAGGTCAGCCATTGCCTTGCATGTCGCCCAAGTGTCGCTCCCTACATGGGGCAGTAAAACTACATTATCAAGCCTAAACAGTTCCTCAGGAACATGTGGCTCATGCTCAAACACATCAAGGCCAGCCCCTCCGAGGCGACCCTCAAGCAATGCAGATACAAGCTCAGGCTCATCAATATGCGGACCACGCCCGATATTTATCAGCACACCGTCTTTTCCCAAAGCATCAATGACCCCACGGTTAATAATGTGATGGGTCTCCTCATTCAGCGAGCAGGCAACTACAAGAACTTGACAGTTGGCTGCTAAGTCTACGATATTGGAGTAGTACTTATAATTTGTGTCTGGTTTCTCCGATCTTGAGTAGTAACTAATGGAGCAGCCAAACGCTCTAGCTCTCTTAGCTATGGCTGAGCCGATTCTTCCGAGTCCAACAATACCCATCGTTTTACCACTAAACTGCACAAAAGGATATCATGGGTAAGTGTTTGCTATATTGAGGAATATATGATCTAACAATACATGTGCAAGGTTGCTGCTATATTGGTAAGGGGAGATCCACTGAAGCTGCTGGTCCTATTAATTCAAGGGAATATATTGTTTTCTCTCAGGATAAAGCTCATCAGCTAGCAAGAAAGCTTCTTGTACCCATTCAGAAATCCATTGTATCTACTTTTTTTTTCATCTCCCTCGGAAGCCTTTTTCTTCTTATTTGCTATAGCTCTCTTGATATTCTTTGTTTGCACAAGCATCATCTTCACGCCCTTGTCGCTGACGATGATTAAAATCCGACTCCATATTATCAATAATTCATAATCCCATTATCCTATCCTCCAGGCTAAAATCATATTACTTCGAACAGAATTTAATTTATTATCATTCTATTCAGGAAAGCATAACAGGCGTCATAATGGAGCATACAACATAAAACAAGAACAAGTGGGAAAGAAGAAGGGTGTGTATGACAAGTTTTGACAGGTAGAAAACTAGCAACAGCTACAGAACAAGAACAGCATTAAGATGCCAAAAAATAGGAGAAAACTCTAAAATCTTAAAACCATTTAAACCGTCAACCAATTTCCATATAGTCTTAGATAAATTTATCATGACATAAGAACTTCATGATCTTTACTTGAATTGTAATTCCATCGAAGTCCCCCTTTTTTCTTCCTTCCCCCGTTAATATAAGTACAATCTCCTCTCCTACTCAGAACCATTTATGTGGCTCTTTAAACCCTTTCACAACTTGACAACCTAGAAAAATAATCACCAAGCCTTAGCCAACCTTGGAAACAATCAACCTTCCTATATTATGATACTTGTGATGCAGCCAGACAGATGGGTCCATCCATTTTCAATTCAAAAAACTTTTTGTTTTTTTAATCAGAAACTCAAAAAGAGCATTCCTCTTACCAATATGTTCATCCATCTTGACTTCCTAGGTAAGAACATCCATGGCATCATTTACTTGAATACAAGACCACTAGACAACATAAGCACTTATTTTCACTTAGATAATACAAATATCAACATTCAATATTGGAAAAAGATCAAAATTCGGTTTCCGTATCAGGCAGTGAATAGGTGCTCATAGCAAAGCATTGTCAGCAAATTAAATATGCACTTTGTTGGATAGAGGAGATAGAGTGTGGGGGCCACCACAAGTTCACAAGGGAATTCAGCGGTTTTTTGAGTGCCGCATGAAGAGTTCAGCGGGTTCTTGAAAACGCGTGAAAGGCTAAGTCTTTTCACGTGAGGAGATAGATGGAGAATTGTGGGGGCCCACAAATCGTGTCAAGAGATGGAGAGCCAACGGATGTTTGCTAAGAACCAGTGAATTTTTAGCCCACCCGAAGACCGAAGACGTGTTTGAGCTGTATAAAACCCTTGTCTACGGTTTCGTGCGGTTTTGGTGCGAGGCAGCAAGGGAGAGTGCATAGAGGGCTGCGCAGGTGCAAGTCAGAGCAGAAGAAAAAAAAGGAGTGGCATACGGTGCAGGAGTAGAGGCAGAAGACAGAGGCTTCGTGCAAAGGGAAAAAGGCGGTTGTGCAAGTCTTGGGCTGTGCAGGTGTACCGCAGAGAGAAAATGTATTTGGTGGCTGATTTTTTTTTTGAGAAGAAAAGCAATGAGCCTATTTTAGGGTTTAATTTGTGAGAGTTGTGTGATTGTAAACCCATTTGTATTCTTTTTCTCTCAAATTGTAGATCCCCTTCCTTGCTCCGTGGACGTAGGCAATTTGTCGAACCACGTAAAACTTGTGTGATTTGCTGTTTATGGTCATTGTAATAGTTTATTAGGTTCCCTCGACAAGTCAGTCCTAGAACTGATGAGAGGAAGAGCTAATATCTCACTTTGTTGAGATATTCGTTTCAGATTCTTGTTTCCTTGGTGAGACGAAAATTCTTATTACGATTTTTTTCTCTTATTGTACACCAGAAACTCTGTCGAAATTTTCGCTGCGCACAACAAGTGATATCAGAACCCAGATTCAGATCTAGGGTTTTTTGTTTTGGTTAGAGAAGTAGATCGATTTGAAAGCTCGTCTAGAGCTTTGTTTGGTGATAAATGTGGGATCTTTTGGTAAATACTCTATCTTTTCAGTTTTGGATCTGTTCTTCGTTCATTGGTGCGTTGAGTAAGATGTCGGGGAAAGAAGGTGTTTCAGGTGTCGAGGGTGGTGCTTCTGACGCGAAGACCATTCAGAGTTTGAATATCCACTCTATGAAGATAGATGTTGAGAAGTTTAATGGCACAAACAACTTTGGATTATGGAGATGCGAGGTTTTGGATGCGCTGAACGCGCAGAATTTGGAGGATACTTTGGAGTTAGATGGCAAGCCAGATGATATTGAAGAAAATGTTTGGAAGAAGATGAATCGAACGGCATGTAGTGTGATTAGATCTTGTTTGACTCAATATCTAAAATATGATGTGATGAATGAGACTCCTACGAAGAAGATTTGAGAGATTCTCGAAAGTAAGTATCTGACAAAGAGTGCTAAGAACCGCTTACATTTAAAGTGGAGACTTTATTATTTTCAGTTGAAGAATGGAACCTCAATTAGTGATCACATGAACACCTACACAAAGCTTCTTGCGGATTTGTCGAATGTGAATGTCATGATTGAAGATGACAAGACGTTGTTATTATTGAGTTCCTTGCACGACGAGGAATATGAAACTTTCGTTCTTACTCTAATTAATGGAAAGGCATCTCTTTCGTATAGTGAGGTAACTGCTGTACTTGTGAATTATCAGTTTCGAAAGAATGATAAGGAAGCTTCAGTTGAGCCGGTAGCAGAGACGTTAGCCGCAAGAGGAAAGGGTCCAAACCGGAAGAATTAAAAATCACAGTCTAGAATAAGACATCCTACAATTAGAAAAGATCAGTGTGCTTAGTGCAAGAAGACTGGTCATTAGAAGAAAGACTGACCAAAGCTCGACGAATGGATGAAGAATAAACAGAAAGGAAAAGGGAAGCAACCATTATCAGAAGCAAACATCGTTATATCGGATGGTAATATTTCTGACTCTTCTATTTATTCGTTTCTATTAGTTCTATAAATAGCTATTCAGAGGAATCTGAATGAATGTTGGATAGTGGTGCGACCTATCATGTGTGCCCTAGAAGGGAATGGTTCTCCAGTTTTGAGAAGCTGGATAATGGTGTAGTATACATGGCTGATAACCGTGCATGTCAGATCCTTGGGATAGAAAGAATTCGCATCAAGATGTTTGACGAGACTGTTAGGGAGATATATGATGTGAAATATGTTCCTTTCTTGAGGAAGAACTTAATCTCTATTGGAGCTTTGGTTGGAGAGGATCTGAATGTTCGAATTGAGGATATGGCTCTCAAGATTGTGAAAGACTCTCAGATTGTGATGAAGGACGTCAGGAGGAATAACCTGTATTACTTGACTGGAGGTATAGTGACAGGTGGAGAAATGATGATTTCTATTGATTCAACTAGACTGCAGCATTTGGGGCTTGGCCATTCCAGTATTGATTCCTTACATAGATTGAATTATTGAAAGAGGGTGCGAAGACCTACAATTTGAAATCCAGTGAACACTTTGGTGTGAGCAAGAAGACCGAGATGAAATTTGACACCTCTATTCACCGCACGAAAGATCTTTCAGATGGGGTTCACGTGGATGTTTGGG